TTTGTGGGATAAGGATTGGTTTTTATTACTAATTATCATCAATATATATTTACTTTTATTTTTTTTATGGCATTTTCAATATCTTCTGATTCTGTTTCATAACATTCTTCGCAATTATACGCTCCCAATGAGAACTTGCAAGTTTTACAAAAATTTCCATATGGATATATCGAGAAAACAGATTGAAAAATTGGTTATTAACGAATAAAAATGATTAATTTCACATGAAACTTGAAAATTACCTTGAGACGATGTTAAACATATTTCTTCATATTTTATTGTTGTAACGGATGTTACAGAATTCTTTTCTGATGGAGTATTTTTTCAACATTTTCTAGGTTTGAAATTAAAGTAATAATCCTTTTCGCATAACATACAGCCAATATTTGGTTTTGTGCGATCCTCTTCTAAATCTGTTGATTAAATGCTAGGGTCGACTTTATAAATATAGCCTAAAGCAATATAGGCAATTTTCTAATGTGCATAACCTACACTCTCTAGAGTATGATGCATAATATGGTGGTAAACATGATTCATAAGTAAAAATTTCAAGATTTTACTAACACCATTAGCAAGCTAATGTCCATCATTACATTTTAAACAAAAAAAAAAACCATTATTTATTGTTAAACCACAACTCAAGCCAAATTATTTGTTGTAAGCATAACATAAATATTAAGCATAAGAACTGGGTTAATTTGCATTACAAAAAAGAGAAAAAATTTTAAGAACTACACATAAAATGCCCATAAAGATGAAACTCATCTTGAATACAGGTGAGCAATATACTTCTAAATTGTTTAATCCACTAATAAATATATTATTTTGGACCTATAAAAGATATCTCTGAAATAGCAATAATATCAATTTTATTGTACTAATCTCAGTAATTCTTGTAACAGGGATTTTAAATCAAAGGAATCATAAAAAAAAAATTTTTGATCACAAGTGCTTCATATTAACCAGATTTTTAAGTGAGTTCTAAAATTTCTGTACAACTTGGAGATTGGCTCCATGTATCTACATTTCTAAAACATTCAATACAAATTAAGAAATCTTTGTATATTCCTTAATGGCTTTGATGGTAAATCTGAATCTGGAGATGATTATTTGTGTTTATATTTTCATGCTAAATATTTCACATGCTTTCGTACTCAAATTACTGTACGTCTTATTCAGCAGATAATTTCAGAATATTTCAATCTGGAAATGCCTGTATATGTTAAAATGAATACTATGAAAATTCTCAAAGCTTAGCATATAATTAATGCGATATTTCATGTCCTACTTGCTCATCGATAGCCACCTATTGCACATCATGTGATTCTTTACTTAATCTTAGCTTAAATTAACAAAATGTGTGTTTATGTTAATCTATCAATTTTTTAGTGTAACCTCAAAATAATGCCAGGGTATCAAACATAATAACACATTTCTTTTCTAGCTTTGTCGGGAATATAAAGGAGTGGCATATTAATGTATTGAATGTGGCAAGATAAAAAGATATTTTGATCCAGATAACTTAAAATGTCCATGTATAGATGGATACTATGAAACTAATTCAAAATAGTGATCGTTAAATAAAATTTACATCATAGTATGTGATCTGAGTTGTTAAAAATGTGATAATTAATTTATACATGTTAAAAAGGATATGATGATATTGTTATTGAAATGTGATAATAATGTAATAACATTTGTAAACATGTCAATTAGCTTCAAAATGTGCCAATCATATTTTGAAACTAAATAGCATAGGGTCTTAAGTTTGAATACTTGCGTTTGTAAAATAGACTATTTTGATAATGCTCTACTTGAATGCCAAGTAATTATTTCATATTATATAGAGTGTTCAACTCGTCTTTAACATGCTCTGGAACAAAAGATAAATGTTTTAGTTATGTATAGATTAGTCGATCA